TTATTCTTAATGAGATTCAAATTGAAATGTATGTTAAAATTAAAAGTATAAATGCTTTGAGAATGTCGAAAGAATAGTAAATACTCAATAGTGAAGCGACAAAAAATAAATCAATTTAAAATTATATAAATGCAAATCTGGTCGGCTCATACGATACTAGTTTATTAAATCTACTATGTGCCATAACTTTAACAAATAATTTAGTTTTTTATTAGAATACTATTTATTTTTTTATATCTTTTACACTTATATTATATTTACATTGACTTAAATGTTTTACACTTGTACAATATTTAAATTCCCTTTTATATGAATTATATATCTTACATTTATCTATGTGCCTTAACTTTGGTAAATAATTTGTTTTTCAATATTATACTATTTTTTTTTATATGTTTTACACTTAGTATTCTATTTACATTGACGTTTATCAACTAAAAGATAAAATAATATTTTCAATAAAATAAATACAGTGGTAACCAAAATATTTTTCCATTTATGATGAATATTATTATACTATTTATATTTAGGATTAAGGCGAAAACCAAAAAATTGATTTTGGGTGTAAACGTGTATACCCACATTACCTACAATAGTGTAACTCTATTAAATTTTAACAGATATAAAACCTTTGTTAATTCAATTATCAGAAACATAAATTAAGTCATATTCAAATCCGTCACCTTCACTCGCACAAAATTGTTCTTTTATACTTGATTACATAAAAAATACATTTAAAACACTTTATGGACATTATTTATAACATTATATGTAATATGTATATTCAATGTAGTATTACAATAATTATATTAAAAAAATATATAAAGAATTTAATATTTAAATTTTACTTGCATAAAGCTATGTACTATAGCTAAGTGACACATGTACATTGTAATAAAACTATTGAACTAATTAACAACTTTTTTTTCGTCAATGAGATAATTTTTTCAATGTTTTATAGAGTCAGATTACTAATAAGATATTCTTGGCCCTTAAGGATCCAAGTTTTCAGGTATCATACCGTATAAATATCAAAAACTTCTTTTGTATAATATTGTATTGCTGTGTTAGTAGGAATTTCAAGATGATAACTATTTTATACATCAAAAGAAATTCTTGTTTAACTTCATTGTTTATCATACATAAATCACTTCAAAAATAAAATATATAAATATAATATATATATTTTTTTATTATTATTATTATTACATATAATATTATATATGTTCAAGTATTTAGCTGTAAACATTCTAATTAACTAATTATGTAGATACGTTCAATATTTAAGGTAACATCTTTACCAATTAAAAATAATGTAAACTATGTTATATTTTAAGAAATTTAATAACACAAATCACAAAACATTAGTATTCTGTTGTAATAACTAAAAAGAGTGGAATTCAGCTTTAATAGGTGCAAAAGCATATCATCTCAGCATATAATACTAGGGGGTACAAGTGTATCATTGTACATTCTCATAATTATTTCGTAGATTAGTAAATAATATATATATATAGCTAAGTATAGGTTAAGCTTTATAGTTATTATTAATATGTATTCTATTAATTTAATAATTTGGAATAAATACAATAAAATTGTGATCTTCCAAACACTATTAAATGTTTAGGTATAAATAATATGCAATGTTTATATTATTATAATTCATGAATGCGATTCAATTGGAGATGGTCGGTAATGATTTTCTCCGTTGTATTTCGTATGCTAATTAAAATTATTAAAACAAACTATCATGAACTTACACAACCACTATGATCATATACATGCACGGTGAAAAAATATTTAAAACGTAAAATTATATTTATCAATATCTTAAATATTTTACTATTGTAGACTATGTTAAAAAATGTTTTTTTGTAGCAAGTTGTATTTCGACAGTACGTCATTATTGACCATCATCTATTAAACTGCCACTTTCGTTTAGAACAATATTATTTATTATAATCATAACCATGGTTATCTATGCATAGATATATTTACTAAATATTATATTACATTTTTTTTAATGTCGTCGCAATATCAACATTTCTCATCCGTCATTTTTATGTACGGTATGAGTACACGGAAAAAATGTAGCTACGTCTTCGGATTTCTCGGTTTGTGATGCGTATTATACATCACGATATTATTATTATACCTTGGTCCAGTTAAAACGCGATCAAATTTCAGTCCTATTTTATAAATAGTTAAAGTGTAATTACTAATCACGTAACAATAACTGTTAATGGAAATGCGATTTATTGCCATGCATATTGTATATATTATTATGTTTATGTTATAAAAAAAGTGATTGCTGACGGACACAAAAACATCGTCACCAACTCGTATGGTATTTGGCACTTTGGCAGTGAACGGTTTTATTGCACTCTGCGTATTATTCTTCTGCATATTATCAATTATTATCGAGTTATATGGCTTTTGTACACGTTGTCCGTTGTTGCGGCGCGTATACCTATACCCCCCCCCCCCATAAAGTATACTTTATCCTTGTGTTTCGTCATTATTTTTAACTACCTATAACCTTGCTACTCATTATTTATAACGTTAAAATTCTAAAAATAAATAAAACCGGTTGTCTTTGATACAGGCGGTGCGAGCAGTCTCGATAGTCAATAATACGCGACGTCTAAATGTTATTTACAAATATATTGAATTTCGCACATTTTGTGTCAAATGAAAAAATGTATTCCTAAAATCCACGTATTCCATCAGTCGTTTTGAACTTTTATTTCAATATTTTCGGAATGTGCATCACTCCGGTGTATCATCATATAATTAAATCGACTATTTGAATACATTTGAAAACTGACATCAGAAATGTCGTACCGCGTAGGTAGATGTTACGTAAACGTATACTTATATCGATTTGTCTATTAGCTACAAGCTCGGCCATTTGCTGTGGTTACTAAATAGTGGATACCAGGCTGTCCATAAATGAGGTTTTTTGGTAAAATTAAACCGGCGTCCTTCTGACTTGAAATGATCAAATTTAATATGATATTTTTATTGAGGTCTTTAATAAAATTGAATATTGATAAAACTTACGTTTACGTGTATCATAATAATTCTCACGTTTTTTTTTTACGTTTTGGAGGTTATTAAAACACAAAAACATTCATTTTAATATAATAAGTTCAATATATCGAATAAGAGCACTAATAATTGATAGCGTCGAAGAAGAGGGCAAAAGGCCCACTGTCCATTGCTTTTTCTCGAAATTATGCTTATGATACACACGTGCACGATGAAATATGATGAACAAATTTATTACGTACATCGTTATATAATAATATATTAATAGTAGTCGTCGAATTTCTTTTTCGAAAAAATCTTGTAATATTTTATTCTCTAGACGTATCATCGTCGTGGGGTATCCACTATCCACTCGCGGCAGATTATGATGTACATTATAATATTATAATAATATAGTAGTCTCATTACGTGATAGTTTTTCAGAAAGAATAAAAATGAATAAACGATAAAAAAAAATCTCTCGGCAACGGCGATGCGGTTCAACAAAACTAATCGCTAAACAAGGTTTTTATTTTATTTTTATCAAGAAGAAAAAAGATGCGTACATTATTAACGCAACCACACGACGCGTTATTATTATACACATTACAACAAATAAAATAATTCAGGGGTGGTCAACGTGGGTTTTACGTTAACACGGATTTATAACGATTGAAAATGATCGTTTACAATAATTTGACGAATGAAATAAAAGTGAAATATATAAATAATGGTACTTTAATGAGTTGGTAGTCGGTACTTATTAATTGTTTGGAACAAAATTGTATTATTTTTTACGGACGAAGTACCGACTATTATGGGAACAATACGAGGGGAGAACGTTTGGGTTTTGTACCACTATCGCTTTTTTTTTTTTTTTAGTACATCATAAAAACTTAAAAGCATTTTTTTTTGTTTTGGATTGATTAGGTTTTTTTTTCAGTCTAACCTTCTTCCTCTGTCTAACACCAACATTTTGTGTACACGAGTGGCTACTGGGTCGCACTTAAACGAAACCAAGTCTTAAGATATCGTCAACTCCGTTGAAATGAAAATCTGTTCATACGACACATTTCATCATTGTTTTTTTTGGGCCATCTCGTCATTGCTGAATCCGTCGCAAAAATCGTGTCGTATTATATTTTCGGCCACCCCCCGAAACTACAACAATAGAAAATAAGACCCTCCTCCTGACCGCATACTACCGAACCCTATCACGGGGCCAGAGAGACACGCGGTGGCCTCGAACGCCGCCGTTCGGCCGGTGGTCGGTCTGTCGGCGGCGGTTGTCTACGTCGCGGTCGCCGCGGAGGAGAGCAACCGCAGCTGCGTGCGTCGAACGAAACGCGTCGCGGGTGTCGGCGGTGGTGGCACATCGTTCGCCCAGTCGCGTTTCGATCGGCAACCTCGTCGCACCGTTCCTCCGCCGCATTCGCAGCGCACAATAATAATACTAATATTATCACAGCGACAACCAACAACCGTGATATTATCATCGTCGTGTCGACGCGCGCACGTGACAACTACAATAATTATTGCATCAGATACGAAACGTGATCGTATTAACATTGGTACCTGACACAATATATTTTTAAAAATCGGTCTTCGCGTCGGTTAGGAGTCGTCATAATAATAATAATATCATCTGTCCCGTCATGGCCCGGCCGTGCGATGTTGCAGTGCGTCGTGCGACGGTCTCACCGACTTCGCGAACCTTCGACGCGTCGCAATAACAACGACGACAACGGTCACGTCGACCGGTACACGGAGACGAATATTAGCGATCAATTCGACGACACAGTGGAGCACCATCGCCGCCAGACGACGGGTAGCCGACGCGACGAGTTTTATGCGCTCCGCAGCGAGACCACTCGCCACCGCCGCCACAACGCAGACGCAGCGGCATCGTCGCCGCCGACGCCGTCGTCGTATCTTCCTCGACTCGAAACCGTTGGCCGCCCACGCACGCCATGTACGTGTCGCTGTGCAGGGGAATCCCGGAGAGTTCGTTCAGGTACGACCGACGACCGCCGCGCGACGCGTTTTTTGCACGCCACGCGCGAAATAATCAGTCGCCGAGGGGACGCCGAACCCACATGATAAATAAGGTTTGGCGTTGTCTCCGTCTCACGACCCTGGTCGCAAAGTTATCGTGTCGTTGCGACGATTTTTAAAATTATAGCGTGTTTCACTTGAAGGTAAAAACGCATAACACGTGTACCTATATTCTCTAGGGCATCTCCCGCAGTAATTTAATGTTTGATTCATGTTTAAAATATTTTCATCGGTGAGTAATGAGCGTTTTAAAATATTTAAACGTCATCCGACAACATGCGAGAGACGCCTTAGATAATTTTCTTACCTTTGAGTTTGATCATTGACAATATCGCAGTCGATTCAGTGTCGTATTGAGACACGAAATCGGTTCCATCGAATGTTATTACGTTTGTAAGACGTAGACAACACATTCGGGTTCAGCGTCCTCTAATTGGCTATATTCCGTGCAAGCTAATTTTATTTCGATATACATTATCTTGAACAAATGTTTATTGGATAATAATGTTCGGAATATTATCTGTTGTAGACCATATTTCGTCCAGGGCCATTTCCAATGAAACGCGCGTTCAAAAATTTGTTTCAGATATAGGTTCAAAAGATATTGCTCTGAGCATAGTTCAATTTTTTTGTTTGTACGGAAACGAGTCTCAACAATACTAGGTAGGAGCATGCTTAGGCATTTGAGTAGGGGTAATCGAATGAGTGTACGTGAAAATATTATATAAATATAATATTATGTAATCATATATTACGTTTTGTATAATTGTATGGTGTCTAAATAAATCGAGTTTGGCAATTATTTTTTGAAGAAAACAGTTACAAACTTTTTACTATTATACTTTTTAAGTATAATTGTAGTTGTTTTTCAGAACTATTTGTTTAAAAATTAACTGACTGGAGGCCACATGCCCTGCAACATTATAATATTATAAAATAACCTCCGTGCACGATCTGCTGGATTTATTTCCACCACTCGACGTAATGTGGACTAGTAGGTATACCGTTTACACTTGCTCGTAATTTGAAAACCTGCGATTTATTGACCGTATTATATCAAAAATCAGAATGTATGTATATATTATTGTACCTACTTCTTTATAGTTCGCATGTGCGTGATGACGACGATCATTGCATTGGCGCGATTTAGTTTATGTTGCCTTGAACTAGGGTGTTTGATATTTAAGCCCAACGATTGTGATGAATGATGATACATAACAATAATAACGGTGTGCCGTGACGAGTAGTTGTACCGCACTACCGCACACTTACACTCTAAGCGTGAGTGAGAGAAATAGCATATGAGTAAGCGAGAAGGGAAGAAAACAAATTCCAATTGGCCGGCGAACCCCTAAAACTGTACTGTTGATTTACTGTAAGTTATATAATATATATATATGTTATATATATATAACAGACGACGGTAATGGGGTTTCGTTGAAATTAATAATAATATACTAGATAATGGATATTATGACGTGCGTACTATGTGTTAATGTATAAAATTATAATACTGTTAGGTTTTTGGCGCCAAAAATATATCATTATGGTTTTCACTCTTATTCGAAATGATTTCACCTTCGAGAAAGCAGTGAGTCGTGTGTTTTTGTGTTCGCATTTGTGCGCGAGAAAACCACGCATTGTAGATGCCAGGAAAAAATAACAACAACAAACTCTTTGGGCCGGAAGGATGGAGACAGAAACCGATTTTATTGTGTGCGTGTATAGAGGTGTATTCGTGACGTCACTCCCACGTGGACGCCCGAGCTGTTGACTGTATTATTGTATTATGATAATCGTGTACATAACGTGCGCGTTGCAGTTGCACTACGAGCCACGACGCAGCGGTTAGGTTATACAGAGTGATTCAATAAGCACGCTCATCCTCTTTCCTTTAACCTTATGCATTCGTTCAGGTTCTGATAATTAGAATTTTTAAGAGTTCTAAAATTTTTTAAGACAATAATATGATTTTTAAATACTTTGAAGTGTTCAAGTGCTAAATAAACTGTTTTCAAACAAAATCTTCTCCCATTTTTTTATGAATTATTAAGTAGATTATTTTTTTTTAAATATCGACACATTTAAATCAAAAATTTAATGTGTAGTTTCAAAGTCAATTAACTTTGTAAGGTAGTAATTATCACGCCCGAATAAAATTTATAAATAAAAAAACATTTATGCTATAATTTTTAAATCATCATAACATTCATAACCACATATTTTCCGAATCTATTATCATGTGGTCTAATATCCTTAGGTAGTAAGCAAAATTAAATAAAGAAAGTTTAAACTACATGTTTGAATTTTGATTTAAACATGCCAACTTCTCAAATTAAAATTACTTATTTTCAATTTACAATAAATAATTATTTATTATTTTTTAATATTCACTGTACTCTTGAGGGTTGTTCTTGATTATTTAAAAAAAAAATAGGGACCTTTTCCGTTAGTTCACTATCATTGCTGTTTTTGGTATTACCGTTAATTCAATAAACGAAAATATAACAGAGGAAGGTTGTTACCAAATCAATGTGTTTTTGGTGGTATTTGCAGGGGAACTAAAGAGACTTCTAGTTCCTGTTCCTGACAGATCATCATGTACATTGTTGCCAATTATCATTGAACATATTGCTGCAGCACGATATTTGTATTATTACAGGATTTTTTTTTTAAACGATTTAAAGGATCTCAGTAATTTTAATTTTTTAAAGTGTTTTAAAACATAATATTTGAGTATTCTTAATTCCAAAAGTCAGAAACTGAATAAATATATTATTAAAAAATAAATGGACTCGAGTATGTTTTGTGAATCACTTTAAATTTATAGTATGCGCATGTGTTTCTTGTATACAATTGTAGAGGTTACAATAGTATAAAATATAAATGTATATTAATGCCCCAATTGTATTAAGTTTTAAGTCTAAAAATATGATTTCTTTAAACAAATATTCTAAAATTCCTAGATGAACTCAACTATTTTGAAAACTGTAATTTATAACTTATTTTGAACTTACCATTGGCTTTTATAAAATATGAATTATAATATAAATCAAAAAAACTGATATCTGGACTTTGATTTTTTATGTGAATGGTGACAATATAATAATATTTTCGATCTCTTATACAGTTATACTTGGTAGTCCTTGGACACGTCATCATATATTCAATATTGTTTTTGATATCGTTGTGTATACTGGGCGATTCTCTTCAGTAAACACTTAATTATATCGTTATGTTTTTATTTAAAAGTATTTTATTTTATTTTTTTAATGTAAACATAAATTTTCAATTCCATAGTCCTTAGCAGAATATATTTTGTTCTCAGAATTTTGTTGAAACCTTATTGAATTTCAAATGTTTAGTTAATAAATTATGATTTAAAATATATCAAAATACTCGTTCTAAATTTTATTTTTAATTAGATAAACATGATATTTAAATTCCGGATAATATATTTTGCTTTAAAGTGTGAAATTAAAAATTATTAGTGTCATTCAAAAATGTAAAACTTAAAAATGTTTAATTTTCAAAATTCTCTTAAAATAGTAAAAAATTAAATTTGTTATTCTAAAAATTTGTCTTTTAATAACTTATTCTTATATATTATAAAAACATGTTTGTAAAAAGTGTTGCTTATTGCATGGAACTTTTAAGTGTTTACTGTTAAAAGAATCATCTGTATTGTAATTATTACAACAGGTTAAATATGTGTAACTATTTTACGTGACTAGGCTTTTTTATTTATAAAATATAATTGTAATATTATGTTATATTATAGAGAACATCGATGTACATTTATTATTTTACGGACTGCACCTGTAGACACTCAACGTCACGGATTAACTATCAGCGTAGCTTACAATAATGGTCTATACTCAATTACTGTTTATAATATTTAATCATATTATTATTTATTGGACGAATTTTTCGATCTTTACATTATGAAAATAATATTATATGCTATAATTTACTTATTTTACAATAATTATTATAATATTATTTATTTTTATAGGAATCCTTTATATTTGTAATCGAGTTTAAAAAAGAAAGTACCCTCTGTTAAATATTTAATCTAGTGGAACGTTTTTACATAAATAGTTGATATCAGTAAAATTACACTTTAAATTCCATAACAAATATTATTTATTCTAAAAATGTTAACTATTTTACTTAATGTGTATTTATGTTTTAATAACACCTAAATCATTAATAGTTTACCATAATCCAAGGAACACTCCTAAAAGGCGCAAATGTTTTTTATTCATATAGGTAGTCATATCTTTTGGAGTGTATAAAAATTGGAGATCGAGTATCACAATTTACGTGATTAGTAGTAGTCAATAGTTAAATTAAATTATGTTTAACTGCTGTTCTGAAAATCATAAATGAAATGTAGTAAATTAATCTGGTGTAATTTCTTTAATTCTATATTAAACAGTGCAATTGCAATGGAAATGATAAGTCAAGTATTACATAAACTGTAAATCACGTTTGTGTGAGGTATTATATAATATTTTTATTATTTATTAGAATAAATATTGAAAGAAATTTATTACTTTAGACAGTAAACAACAATTTTGAATAATACTAAGATTGAATTTAATTTTTTTTCAGTGAATGCAAGTTTATATAGTATAATACTGCAGATTACAGATATGTGTATTTCTTTTGACGATTAATATAATTTTGATTTGAGAAGTATAATTCAATTAAAATTGAAGTTATAACTTATAAGATTTGAAATTTTATTTTTAACGCTTCTTGATCGCTCCAAATTCTTTGACTGATTCGATTAAAAATTAAAAACGTCAATATACAGTATTGTTTATTTCATTTTATTTATAATTCGTGGTATCACGTGCAAATGTATGATTCAAAATTAAAAGTGAATTTTTTTAGTCGTAATATAATTGGCTATAATCATATCTTGGCAAGAATATTGAAAACACGTGCGAG